AAATTAGAGTTCTGTTACTAAGAGGAAAGGGTAGAATAGATATGGCAGTGGGCAACTCACAGATTATGCTCATCTGTGCACACCTACTCTTTCCTAAGGGTTGTGGTGTATTTGGCATTTACCATGGGCCAGCTGCTTTTCACGTATTATCTCATTTAATCCTAAGAGCTTTGCAAGGTGGATGATAATATCTCTATTTTGCAATGATGAAACTGAGATGGAGTTTCATCATTCAGAGATGAAGCCACCTGCCCAAGTTATAGTCAGCAAATGGTTTAATTTAACATCCCACTTCAAAGCCAGTGCCACTTCTTGCCGATGCTCTCACAGACCTGCTCTTTTCTTGCTGAGGCTGCAGGGTGTTGGTTCGACCTTTCTAAGCTAAATTCCGGATCCCACCCCTTTTGCCCAGCTCCCCTTCACTGTTACCCATATCCCTCCTGTGATACTCTCTTCAAAAGAACTCTGGGAAAATACAAACACTGTATTGACAAGATTAGTTTCTTATTGCTGGTGTGATAAATGACCACAAACTCGGTGGTCAGAATTGAATTGGAGGACACCCAGCAGGTGTCCACAGCTCCATGTTGGGGGGAGAAATTCCCACACATTTGGTCACCAGCATCTTCCGTGTTGATTGTCGTGGGGTGAGAGCAGAGGAAGAGCACGGTTGGAGAGAGTTTTCCGTGCACAGTCACGATGAGGGCCCAGAGGGACTGACAAGGAAGAAGATGGTTCTCCAGCTCACAGAACTCAGGGAAACACGTTTAGTGGTTTATTTTAAAGGCTGTTATGAAGGCTACAGGTGAAGAGATGCATGGGGTGAGGTGTGGAGGAAGGGATGTGGAACTTCCATGCCCTTCCTGGATATTCTACCCTCTAGGAACCTCCATGTACTCAGCTATCTGGAAGCTTCCCAGAGAACCCTGTCCTCTTGGGGTTTTATGGAAGCTTCATAACGTCAGCATTCCTTCCCCCAGGGTATAGGGCAGGTCCCTCTCTGGGGAGGGTCTCAAGACCTATAGTCAGAAAGGTGGGGAAGATTAGTCCTGCCCTGGGGAAGGATAGTGGCTTTAAACAACACAAATTCATTCTTTTACAGTTCTGGAGACTGGCTTCACTGAGCAAAAGTCCAGGCATCTGTGGGGCTTCCTTCTGGAAGTTCTAGGGGAGAATCTGTTTTCTTTGTCCCCTTCCTTAAATCCTTCCAACCTCTTGCTTCCATTATCACACTGCCTACTACCTCTCCGGGATCAGATCTCCCTCTGCCTCCCTCTTATAAAGACCCTTGGGATCACAGTTAGGGCCTACCTGGATAGTCCAGGCCAACTTCTCAAGATCCTTACTCACATCCGCACAGGCCCTTTTGCTGTGCAAGGTAGGATTCACCGCTTGCAGGGATCAGGATGTGGACAGCTTTGGGGGCTACTATTCAGCCCCTCACAGTAGCCCTCTTGCTACTGTTCTTCCATTTCTTGTCCCCATCTTTTTTTTTTTTTCCAAACACAGAATGTACATAGATTTCACTTCTGTCTGGTTTTTTTTTTTTTTTTTTTTTTTTTTTTAAAGAGGCCAGAAATATGGTCTACAGGGCAAGGCAAAGTGTTGCGAGGGTTTGTCTAATCAGCTCCCAGTGGCCACAGCAACAGACATGAAAACATTCAAGTAGAAATGACCTGGGGGTAGAGGGGGGTGGAGGGAAGGATCCTGCCCTGGAGGGGCCTGTGTCACCTCAGCCAGGTGACTTAACCTGTGGAGTGATGTATGATGGAGAAGCATAATCAGTAGTTATGGTAGTTCCGTAGCGAGCTTTGCAAAGCTTCCCTGTAATTCTAGGGGATCAGATCTCTAGATGCCTTCTAATTCCTGTGCCTCCTATGGTCTTTCTCTAGGCTAACAGAGGTGTGTCTTTAGTGGAATACAAATGCCATATCTAGAAGCGTTAGATTTGTGAGGAGGAGGGAGAGTTAGGATCTGCTTATGGCCTAACCTCGTTTTCCTCCCCTGTGTGGATTCCCTCATCGCGCCCAAACACCCCTTGGCTGGGCCAGCCCTGCTGGGACGAGAGTCTGGGGTGTTGTATGTTTTGCTTTTTATTTTATTTTGCAAATGCCTCACAGCATTCCCCTCTGTGTTTAATGTCCCACTGCCAAGTGCATGCAGTTGCCCGGCAACAAGAAGGAAGGTCCCTATGTGATTCACCCGACTGTTGCCAATTAATTTGCGAGCTGCATGCGTCTCCCAGGGGAAGAGGGCTGTCTCTGAGATAGCTCACAGGGCCACTGCCCAGGCGGAGGAATGAAACCAGAGGAAGGTCGGCAGAACTTTGGGTTTGTGTGGGGTGTTTTCAGGTCCACATGAAAGGGTGTGTCCAGAGGACCCTGGCGACACCTGTGGCAAAGGCTCCTGGCTTCCTTCTTGGCCACCAATCAGAGAGCTGCCCAGAGCGAACAAGCACTTCTGTGTCTGCACATTGGTTGCTTTTTTGGATTTTCATCCTTTTATTTTTTAATCAATTCTAAAATGCAGACTCTCCTGTCCCAGTTCATCCGCAGAGAAATGTCTTGGACCATTTTCTTCTCGTCAGTCCCTCCTGGGCTCTCATCATGACTGTGCAGGGAAAACTCTTTCCAACCATGCTCTTCTTCTGCTCTCACACTGCAACAATCAACACGGAAGACGTCGGTGACTGAATGTGTGCAGGTTTTTCCCCGACACCAATTCAACTCTGATACCATCTGCCTGGACATAGCATCAGATCCCATGGGTTGAGGACTCAGTACCCAAGGCTGCCCCCTCCTCCCCAGACACCAGTTGCCAGTCCGGGCCTCTGGAACTTCTCACCGACCAGCTTCAAGTTGGGGTTCCCATGACTCCCCTCTTTGAGTTCAATTAATTTGCTGGAGCAGCTCACAGAACTCAGGGAAACCCATTTAGTGGTTTATTCTAAAAGCTGTTACAAAGGATACAGGTGAAGAGATGCATAGGATGAGGTGTGGGGGAAGGGGTGTGGGGCTTCCCTGTCCTCCCTGGATGCTTCACCCTCCAGGAACTTCCGTGTGCCCAGCTGTCTGGATGCTCCCTGAAGAACCCTGAGCTCTTGAGGTTTCATGGAAGCTTCATGACATCAACATTCCTTCCCCGAGGTGTAGGGCAAGTCCCTCTCTGGGGAGGGCCTCAAGCCCCATAGTCAGAAAGGTGGGGAAGATTAGAGTTCTGTCTTGGAGCAGGTGTAAGGCGCGCAGGAGTGGGATTCTGTTTCCTGAGGCCCAACGTTATAGCAAAAGACTGTAACGAGGGCTATGGGAGTTATGAGCTAGCAACTTTGGATGAAAACCCGTGCGTGTGTGTGTGTGTGTGTGTGTGTGTGTGTGTGTGTGTGTGTGTATGTATAATAACACCACAGTGTCATTGTCTCATCTCTGGTCACTAGTGCCCTTCTCTCTGGGTTTCCTGGCCATTGCACACATCTCCACCAGGGCCTCAGCTAGAGCCTTTGTGAAGGAGAGTTCCTTTGCACCAGGTTAAGCAGGGCCCCCAGGTCTTCTGAGGGACAGAAGGGGGCCTGTTGGTTTCCGAATGCCCCCAGAATCCGTGGTGCATTTCCCTCAAGGCCTTGCTGTCCTCTGGCCCCATGCTTGCCTAAGGAAACCTTCGATCCATGTTATGTCTCCATTATGACCTGTGAGGGTGGGGTTTGCCTGTCTGGTTGATTCCTGTATCCACAGCATCTAATCCAATATGGTACTTGTGAATGCATGGATTTGTGGTTGCCCAGGTATTCCTTGTGGATTGATAGTGATTGCTAGAATCAGAGACCCAGAGGGCAGTCTCTTTAGTAAGGCCTGTGTTATCTATATCTGTGAATAGGCCTGACATGGCTTGGCTTTGTGTCCCCACCCAAATCTCATCTTGAATTGTAATCCCCATAATCCCCAGGTGTGGAGGGAGGAATCTGGTGGGAAGTGATTGGATCATGGGGTCTGGTTCCCCCATGCTGTTCTCATGATAGTGAGTGAGTTCTTATGACATCTGATGGTTTTGTAAGTGTCTGGCATTTCCCCTGCTTGCTCGTCTCTCTCCTGCCACCATGTGAGGAAGGTCCTTGCTTCCTCTTTGCCTTCTGCCACCACTGTAAGTTTCCTGAGGGCTCCCCAGACACGTGGAACCGAGAGTCAATTAAACCTCTCTCCTTTGCAAATTACCCAGTCTTAGGTATTTCTTTATAGTGGTGTGAAAACAGACTAATACAAGGCCCCTCACTTGCACTACTGAGACTCATCAGTTTTAAAATAGGGCAGTCTCCTGAGGGCATTTGGTCTTATTCAATATATTTGTTACTCAGTAATGGAAGGTAATGCTGGGGGGTGAACATCAAGGAAAGTGTCATGAGTCCAAGTCCATCTTAATTTATTTGCTATCAGAATTAGGGAAGAAGAAATATATTTAATGGTGTCTTACCATTTCCTCTGAGCTATCCACTCTGGGTAAGTTCCTAATTTACTGTTAAGGGTGTTTCAGAAGCAGAGAGAAGTTCCTAGTAAATCCTAAACATGAGGATTAGGAACCAGAGCCCTGCTGTTCTGTAGCAAGAACACCGGCACCCTCTGTGCCTTGGCTTTCCACTATGAAGTAGGTGATCTACCACCCCCATGCTCCCTGCCCCGTAAATCACAGAAATGATGGTGACCGGCTGAAAAACAGAATTTTCCACTTCCTCAGGACTGGCTGTGCTCAGTGGCATTTTAAAAAATCAGCTCTGGATGTCGTGGTGGGATTTGTGTAGGAGGGTTCCTGGTGATGATTCAGGGGATGGATCGTTCCTTGAGAGGTATAAATAGGCTTCCCCCCCACCACCCCACTCAACTAAAATACTGCTTTTTGAAGTATGTGTTCTGTTCAACAGCTAAAACATTATGAACCAAAGACAGTAATGTGATGTTAGCCCCTGAAAAGGCAGAAGCTAGAATAGATCTCTCATGCTGTTTTTTGATCCACAGGATGGGAAGGAGGACTGATCCACGTTCCCACCAGGAAGCTTAGTGGAACCCCCGTATGCCACCTGGACCCCCTGGAAGGACCTGGCCAAGGCTGAACCACCTCTTGAGAGGCAAGAGCTCCAAATTTGATCAGAAATTCTTGGCTGGGCATGGTGCCTCATGCCTATAATCCCAACACTTTGGGAAACCGAGGTGGGAGGATCGCTTGAGCCTGGGAGTTCAAGACCAGCCTGGGCAATATAAGGAGACCCCATCTCTAAAGAATAGTAATAATAAAATAAAAAATTAGCAGGGCATGGTGGCATGTGCCTGTAGTCCCAGCTACCCAGGAGGCTGAGGCAAGAGGATGGCTGGAGCCTGGGACGTTGAGGCTGCAATGAACTGTGATTACCCCACTGCACTCCAGCCTGGGCAACAGAGCGAGAGACCCTGTCTCAAAATAATACTACTAATAATCTTATTTTGGAGAATAAAGAAACCTCTGGATTTGAGGAGCCATTTGGATAGAAAGCAAAGACCTTCACAATGAGAAATAGTCTGTGTTGACCTGAAGGAGCAGAGGGATGCATCACTGGAGGTGACCTACAGTTGGAGAAGACTCATTATGCCAGACCTTGTCCTTCTTCCTTGTGGAAAATGTTTCCCCTGCTGCTGCTGCTCATGAGACTCTTCCCCCTCCCTGTCTCAGGCAACCAAAGGGCTTTCTACCACACCCTTTCTTGCCCCCCGCCTCCCATGTCTGCTGTGCCTTTGTACTCAGCAATTCTTGTTTGCTCCATTATCTTCCAGCCGGATACAGAGTGAATAGTTAACCACACTTAGGTCAAATAGGATCTGAATTTTTGTTCCTGCTCCATCTAAAGAGGCCAGTGTTTGTGCGTTGCAAGCAGCCTCGGAATAGTAACTCTTCTCATTTGTTTGGGATCTCATTGTATTCCTCAGCCATCAAGTTCCAGAATGATACATGGATCAGTGCAGAAGTTCATCAGGCTCTCGGACCTTAGGGCTGTTGGAGAAGTCTTCAGCAGGGGAACTGATGGTGAAGGCTGGTGTTCTCCATCCTCAACTTTCTTTGCTTGGATCACACATAAGTATACATTTGGAAGGGCAAAAAATGAACACTGTTGTTCACTGCAGCCATGTTTTGTGACACAGATGCAGTCTGCTGTGAAGACCTTCTCGCAAGTGGCAGTTGGGGGTCCATGCCAGATCATGGTGCTTCGTGACAGACTAACAGCTACCAGGGATGGTGGCACTTAGTGAGGACCCTCCTCCCCCAGTGTGTGCTGATGACACATACACACCTGACAATAGCTTGAGTCTTCTCTGTTCTTTTTTACTCTGTGGCCACCATACACATGATTTAAAACCCTTCCTAAATATCTATCATGGTTCACCCTTGTCCAAATGCAGAGTCAAAGCTACTTGTACTTTATTATTATTTCCAAGGCAAATAGATGGCTTGCTTTTTACAAAAAGAATTAAAGCTTTTGTATGTTGCAGTTGGTGTGCTTGTATGAACATTTAGTGAATCTGGTGTCTTCTAAGTGGAACAATGGAGTCTTTGTGGACATCTCAGATTCATCACAAAATGATTGAGGAGAACCTCTTGACAATGTTTAGAGCTATTAAAATTTACAGATTGTTGATGGGCTTTCACCTTTTCCTTCCTTGCTTGACACACAGTTACAGGTATTGTATTCCTTGGATTCCTACAAGTGTCAAAGAACAGAGATCCACTTACATTACTTTCATAAATGCTGGTTTATTCAAAAGTCACAGTGATAGTAAGGTAGACAGGAAACAGTCCCAACCACTGCCTAGCTAAGCCTTTTCAAAAAGTCCAAGGTCATTCAGCAGACGCAGAAGCACTAGTTGGTTTCCAAGGATAACAAGCAATCCCATCATGGTCATCTTGATCCTCTGTTCAGCAGCAGGTTTTGCTGTCCCTGACTCTAGAATTCTGCTGTGGTGATGAGCTGAGGGTAACCAACGGTCCCAGTTTGCCCAGGACTAAAGGGTTTCTTGGGATGAAGGACATTCAGTGCTAAACCTGGGACAGTCCTGGGCAAACTGGGACAACTGGTCACCCTCCTGGGTGACTCAACGACTCTGCCTCTACTTTGTTACTTACTATTAACTGACTGATGCTGTTGACTGGTTTAGCCAATCTGCATTCAGAGCTCTTGTATCTGGTTACTTCATAGGCCCTCAGGCAGCCACAGGTGGATGCTATTGGATCAGGCACCAATGCTGACCAAATCAATTGTTTCCAGGATGGTAGAGTTGTATGAAGAACCAACTGAGACCATGTCCTTCTGAGTGTTGTAGATGGTGGGCATGGCAGGCCTTCAAAGTATCAGGGATTCCTCTCCAATACAACCTTACTTACAAAGGAGAAACTAACTTTCTCAGGAGAAACAGTTCATTAAGAAACAAAACTAACACAGTCACGGGGAACTGAGGAAGAGAGCCTGTAATGTGTGTGCAAGCACACACACACACACACACACACACGCACACACATGCTCTCTGTAGAATAATGAGCCAAGATTCCAAATCTGCATCTTTGCTAGACAGAGATCAAGAACTAAAATCTTTGGGATGGTGTTGTCTGGGAAGCAAAGGAGTTGGCTCGAGGACTTCCTGAAATTCCTTTGAACTCTAGAATCCTTTAAAATATCAAGGGTGTGTAAACTGGGGCTAAGTATGTACATTCTCTCTAAAGTCTCCTAGATAACCTTTGAGTTCAATTCAGTGTGCAGTGGGGCCTCCCAGTTTATACTTAGCTTTCTAGACACTGACTTCATCTGGGATGAGGGAGCAGAACTTGGAGGTGGTGGTCGGGGCAGGGGCAGGGGGAGTGGGTAAGGGAGAGTTGCACCAGCCCAACTTTTTTGGTCTTCGTAACAAGTAAGAACAATCTGAAGGCAAATGACAGGTTCTTTTGTGGACTAGAAAAAGCCCGGTTTTCAGGATTGCGTGGCATCCTGAAGTTGTTGCTGCTTGTCGGAGCATCTGGCCTCCATCTTTTCTGCTGAAAGACAGGCATGAGTGTTTACAGTGCTGGAACAGGGGCCTTCAGATAATTTCACTCATCTGGCATGGCAAGACCACAGGGAGGGAATTACATGCTAGGGTAGGGATGAACGTATGGACATACCATGCACCTTGGTGTTTGCCCCTGTAGCGACCCTCACTCACGACCTTCACTAGCATTGGAGGGATGCTCACCCACCTCTTTGGGTGCCATTTTTCTTTTTTAAAAGATGAAGGCATTTCAGATGATCCCTTCATTTATGTTCCACTTTCACTCTTTGGTTTCAAAAGAAGTCCTGATCTTATGTCAAAGGCAACAATCTCTTCTCTCAATCTCTCTCTCTCTTTGTCTCTCTCTCCGGCTCACTCTGTCACCCAGGCTGGAGTGCAGTGGCGTGATCTCAGCTTACTGCAGCCTCGACCTCCTGGGCTCCAGAAATCCTCCTGTCTCTGCCTTCTGAGTAACTGTGACCACAGCTGTATGCCATCACGCCCAGCTCATTTTTTTATTTTTATTTTTTTGTAGAGACAGGGTCTACACCATCTTGCCCAGGCTCGTCTTGAACTCCTGAGATCAAGGGATCCTCCTGCCTTGGCCTCCTGAAGTATGTGAGCCAATGTGCCTGGCCCTCTCTTTTCTTATCTCCTTATCCACATGCAGTCACAGAACCCGGGAGGCTGAAGTGGTCTGAAGCATCACTCTTCTCTAGATTTATCTCTGACTCATGCAGGAATCCCCTTTCAAATCTGGCAAGGGATCGTTCAGCCCAGGGGAGAAAGGACTATGAGAGAGGCTGAGTGATACTCAGCCTGATGGGGAAGCAGTTGAATTTTAAAGAGTGTTTCATGTACTGCCAAGTGGCCACGAATGTCAATTTCTTAGAGATTTTGTGCTAAATGCATTTTGCCCTCTCCCCCATGTTTATGCTGGTAAAACAAACAAACAAAAAAATGCAGTGCAGGGAGGCAGAGACCTAAGTTTTTGTCTCAGAAAGCCCCTCATCATCTTAATTTCTTCCATATAAAATGAGGGATTTGGGCCACATGATCCCTGGAGCCTATTCTATTAATAGTTCTGACATCCACAATGTTGGCATATTTGATGGGTAAGCTATCAGCCTTCTAGGAGTCCATGTCTTAAAGATTTGCTGGGGTTTTAGGTCTCATCTTAGAATAGGACATTAGATATTGTCCAAGGTACAATGTAAAGGGATTTCATCTTGCCTTAATTTCATTAAGAACATAACAATTTCAAATTAGCTCCCTGACACCGCCCCCACCCCCCAATTTTGTTCAGCCTTGCCTGTGAGATTTCCATGGCATTGGAACTTGATCCACAGGAGAACTTCGATCCTCTTCAAATGGCCCTGGAAACCCATGTGGGAAAATATTAGTCACGTTGACAAGAGAGATAGGAGGTTCTCGTGGTGAAACAAGTCCCTCTGCTCAGGAGGCTGCAGTTTAAAGGATTTCAAGGTGACCTTGGAAGTGGCCGCTGACTTTGGATAAGACACTTCTATGCCACGCTGGTGGAGAACAGGTGGAGGGAGGCCTGAAGACAGCCCTGAACTGAGGGGTCTGGAAACCTGGACACCGGCCCTGCCTTTGGCTTCGGCTAAGTCCGGGTCACATGTAAGTCACTCCAGCCTCTTCTCTGGGTCTCAGTTTTCTCATCTATAAAAGGGACAGAGAAGGGGCAGGGGTTGGTCTGACGATCCTCTGAGGTTCCTGCCGTGCATCAAGTTCTCAGCCTTGCCTGGCCCAGCTGGTTCCTGACAAGCAGTAGCCCTTTCTCCCTTTGCCTTTGGCTGTGCCAGTCAAAAACAGGGCTGTCCGGGAAGTCCATTACCAAAGAATACTTCAAAGCTGTTTGCACGCATTGTCAGTTGCACTGAACATGAGTTTGTTGAGGGAGAAGGTAAATAGACATATAGGCCGATGACAGGAGGGGTGGAAGGGGGACCACTATTTACCCCCAGGGTGGCTGTGAGGGAAAAAAAGAAACCCTGCCTGCCGTTTTGACCAATAAATAAAAACTGGGAGCTCTGCGTGGCTAAAACCGTAGGGGATTTATTAGTTTGCTTAGTGAAAGGCAAATATTAAATCTTAAGTTGACCCGTCCTGGGACCTGCCTTTTGGCTTTTGTATGCCATGCGGCGCCGATCACTGGGCCCTTGGGTTATCGAGTTTTGTTGAAGGTTTTTTTTTTTTTTTAATTGTTTTCCGTCTCCGTCTTCTCTTCCTCTTTCACCTGCCCCTTCCCACTATGTCCCACCTTTTACGGTAACTTAGATGGGGGTTTTGGAGGGGTGAAAAGGGCAAGGGTGAAAAACATGTTCTGCTTGTAGAACCGTCTCTGCCCAGGGCTCTGGCTAGCCCGGGAATTGCCGATGCCTGGGATGTGGTGACTCCGGGGAGTGACCCCAGCAGGTGGTCCTCGCGGGTCCCTTCCATCCTCTCTCCTGGACTCTTAATGTTAGGTCCCAGGTGTAAGGCAAAGGCCTTGTCCCTCACGAAAATCAGCATAATGACAAGCACTGGAAAAGAACAGGGTATGCCTATTTCTAAGTTTTAACTTCCCTATCTGAGTCTTCATACCCAGCCATGGCAGATGATTTCAGCCTGAAAGAGGAACTGTTCAAGGTGAGGCTGTGCCCATTAGGGTCTGACCAGGGCTTGTGACTCACCATGGAGTGAAATATCAGGGCAAGAGGGGCTGGATGGCCACAGAGTCTATTCAGTTTTCAAGTAGGAGCTGCAGTGAAACTAAACTAGATGGAGCATTATTTATCCTTTGCTTTAAACATCCACAGCGTAATCCACCCTATTCTAAAACACTGCAGTTTGTGGGTGCTAAGGTCTCCGGGGTGGTGCTTGCTAACAGCCACCCACTGTCGGGTACAGCACAGCAGGACACACTGCTCCATGTCAGACCCTAAGTGCCCGTTTCCTGGTCCACCCCAGTGACCGTTCAGCATGCATCTTACTCATCTACCTGGGGCACTATGGCTTCCGAAATCACTACTCACATTCTAGAACTACTTACTTCAGAAAGTTTCTTGCACATTCCAGTAATGATTTTTTGTGTGTGTGATGGGGTCTCACTGTGTTGCCCAGGCTGGTCTTGAACTCCTCCACTCAAACAATCCTCCCACCTCAGCCTCCCAAAGTGCTAGCATTACAGGTGTGAGCCACCATGCCCGGCCCAGTAATGATTTTGTATTGAATTCAGCATGATCGTTAATCCTTTGGCAATTCTTCACAGAAGAGTCTATTTTTTAAAGGATACACATTGGGCATTCAGGGTACTGAAATCCTACGAATGCTTCAAGGCTCATCTCAAATGCTTCCTTCTCTCAGAAGCCTTCCTGGATTTCTCCTTCCCTCTCAACCAGTTGTGACCTCTCCCTCACATATTCTGACATAGGTACTCAAAAAAATGCCAATCTTCCTTCCTTAACCATAGC